ACTTATGAAGGCTTTGTTAGAACAAGGCAAACATAACCTTGCCTTATTATATTTTGATGGAAAAGAAGACAACCATGGTTGTATTATAAACTTTTTTGGCGGATGTAATTATTTTTATTAAGCAAAAAAAGAACTTGTAGGTATGGTCGTACCATCAATTGAAATAATGTCGTCGTCTCGATTCCCAAAAAGTTAATTTTCCTGGCAAAGGAATGAGAGTTCGCTGGCTACTTTCTATTTGAGGCTTATGTCAGAACATATTGTCTAAATCATGTGTACGAGATGTGCTCGAAAAAAACTGACTTTTCGAACTTTATGGGCTTCTATATCGGATTTTTAGGGCAAAAACTGCACTATAATTAGGCTTCAGCCAACGCATGCGCCCCTAAGCCCCCCCTTGCGGGTTTTTCCTGTTCCCAAAACTGAAAAGACCCAGAAAGGAATTTGCCACGATTAAGGAGGCAAAGACTGCATCGACGGACGAGCTCAAGGTCATACCAAAAAGCGCATATTAGAAATGGTCTTAAGAATGAAAACAGGTGTTTTATATGTAAGGCGGAGCTCCTTGAAGGGGGAAAATAGATATTGATGAATAAATAAATGGAAACCGTTAAAGAGGGCTCACTGGCTGCTTTATATTTAAGAATTATATTAGACCAGATGCTTTAAGCTTTTGTCAGATGCTATTGACAATTGTATTAACCTAACAAACGTAATATACATCTAAATTCATAGCCTGCATGTTTTTAAAACAAAACTTCCCTTTATTTTTTTAACGCAATGTTTTATTCACATATATTTAAAATAAACATCCGATATACAGTTTTAAAGTAATTGCTTGTTCTGCGCGCATATAAATGGGAACAAGGTATTCTTCATCGTTTTGCTCATACTTAACGTTTACAGAATACAATGTTTGCTCTCTATCAGTAGTGAACTAAGGCTGTTTCTTGTTTCTTTGCCTAGGGCGTTAAAGACATTTAGCGCTTGAGACAGGTTGCATTTTACGTGGCAAAGTATAGATAAGTAGTAGACTTCGTTTAATGAAATGACAGAGTGGTGGCGCTAGCGGAGGTAATGTTAATGGCACTTTCATTTAATAGCTCTCTTCAAAAACCTGCTATTAGAGGGAAGTAAAGAATCGTAGCCATGTTTACCACTGTACTTATCGTCATCGCATGTGTGATTATATGTGTTTTGCATGTATCCAGATGCATTTATTACGTACGCTTAAGCAAACATAGTAAAATAAGAGCAGGCGTACAAAGTATATGAACTAATTTCTGGATTTACAAAAGAAAATACAAAGCATCTTATTGTCAGCATTCAGAAGAACTGCGAATACATTTACATATTACAAGTTTTATTGACGCTTGACAGTTCAACGAACTTTTAACTTTCATTGACTAGCAATAACAACGTGAGAAGAGGAAAAATAATAACCTGTTATGGAGTTTGAAAGCTTCCCATTATATAATATTATAATAATGAAAATGTTTTCCAAGAACGTGATCTGAGCAGTGTTTACTATTAACTTTTATTGACAAAGTTCAGTTTAGACTAAACGTATAAATTTATATTAGACTGAGATCGGAATGCAGTAAGACTTTTCCATTTAAATCGTGAGGGACTTATCCAAAGGGGTGTCTTCCGTTTGTTTCAATTCGCAGGACCCCAACTGATATCTGTGTCAAAGTTCAAGTGCATAGCTTTCAAATTAAACTTCCTTGCGATAAAAGAATTGCATTCCTAGATCTTACACTCTTTAGGGTACAGGGTACATTGAATATATGAGGATGTATGTAAAACTTGGAAAGATTGAAGGTAGGCCGAACTTCTATTATTGCCAGAATCATTTTATATGTCTGTCTGTCGTCTGTTTGTCCACTTGCACAAGCATTTTTGTTCAACCTACAGGTCGAAATATTTGAGATATTTGGACAAAATTGGATAGACTGACATTCAAGAACAAACGCTGTCGACAATGCATTGAGTCGGATCGGTATGAGAAAACCTGGTATAAAAAAATTTGCAATTTTCAAGATGTTACGAGAAAAATCGCTGAGTAATAATAATTGTTATTAATTTTGATTTTGAATAATATGCAGACTTCGCATCGTCTCTGAGTCTTCTTTCTGCAAGCGTTGTAATAAAAAAACGAAATTTCGATATTCTATACTATTGAGTAGACGTGGCCGATTCTTACCAAGCTTGTACTGCAGGAGGTATTGCAGGACCACACACAGAATATAAATGCCACGTTATATATGTTGCGTTTTATAAATAACGGGCAAAAAGACAATTTCTTTTATTTTTGAAAACAGAGGTGGTGTGAGGTTACACTGCACTACAGTTGTGTGCGTTGACCGATTTGTTAGAATTTCAGTACCAACTTGCGCGGAAGAACTTCCAATCCTTGTGCTAAACTTGAAGTCGATTGAGTTTTTTTTTTATGACCAGGGGAATGTTTACAACAGACATTACACAGACAGATCGGAAGACGAACACGCTTGACTCGGTTTAGAATTTGATGCTAATCAAGCATGTGTATATACTTTACGGGATCTCTGATGCTTCCTTTCGGGTGTTGCGAACGTTTTGATAAAATGAATACGCCTCTCATCCTACGGCGACGGGTGTAAAGAGAGAAAGGAAACCATTCGTTTAGGTTAACCAATACGATTTAAATGGAGGAGTGTTACTGTCTTCACACACACGGTGCCACAATATTGCACATAATTTTATAAATCATGTGCAATAAAATACAATCAAAAGTTCTTCAAGCGTAGGATAAATGTGATTTACGTTAAAACTGCCATAGTTTGTTCACATTTGTGAATATTTGTTGTTGGATGTCGTTCCTGCTTAGTGTATTAAATAAATGAAGATACGTTTTCCCTCAAACGTCAAAAAAATGTAAATCTTTTTTAATTTATGCAAAGCATATCTAAGAGCGACCGATTTTCGCTAAAGTACAAGATGTTTTAAGCACAGGCTCTTGAAAGTGAAATTTTTTTCCAGAAGCTTTCAGTCGAAAAATGAACTTAACATAATGTAATAATGTTACGATTTCGTTTTAAAATTTTTCCGAAATATTTTTTCAGTAGATTGATGCATCGAATTTCTCTTTGTGTTGAAGTGAAAAAGAAAAATTCAAGTTTAATGTCAATAGTATTAAAGTGATTGCAGCACACACATAAAGTCACAAACAAAATTGGTATGTTTTGCCAACAACTATGCCTCGAAGATCATGTAAGAGTAAAGAAAACAAAAGCTTTGCATGGCATTCGTTAGGTGATTGTGTATCAAGTATTCACACAGTAAGATGGACAATTAAAGTTGCTTGTTTACTAAATGCAAATCCTGAGAGATTGCGTGGGAACACAAAGCACCATAAACTAGACAACAAACATGTGTGTGAAAGCAGTTTTTTTTCTTTTTCCTATGTAGTCATGGTTTAACAATTGTTGAAAAAGTTTCGGGCAGGCAGCTTTACTGGTCACTTGTGGGCCGAGAAATGAAAAGCAAATTAAAAATGTAAAATGCTTTAATGAAGTGATTGGTGCCATGTTCATGAAAATTGCATCACATGACTGCAGGTGTACTAAAGATAAATAGGGACGGTAAAGTAGCATTCAGAGCATGACTTTATATGACAACGAGGCATCATCCACAAACTGCAAAATGTTGATTGAAGTACAGCAGGCGCGCTAAGATGTATTTCTCGTTCGACATACTGCCCAGTAATCAAAATTGATTAAAGGAATTGGTGCCAACACTTTTTGAAATGTGTGTGTGTGTTTGCGTGTGTGTGTGTGTGCGTGTGTGTGTGTGTGCAGATAGAGTGTCTGATACTCTAATAAAGAAAAAAATTATAAGGAATACAAAATTCATGTCCCCCGCTATTTTTCACTCATATCCAGACACATTCACACTAATCCTTAAAATTAATCTAAATTGTGCCCAACTTTAGATTGGACGTTTTTTGTGCTATCGTCACACGTACGCGAACCATAGCTATAAGCTTGTTAGGAATACACATAAAGTAGCATAAGTATATGCACAGCTTTTGGATAGACATGTCCCCATATGCATACAGAGTTCACGCTCATATATGCGTATGCCTCAAAAGCATGCTATATTTACATAACAGTTTAGAAGGAAATTCTGACATGCTCCCTCTACCTATCAATAGGTAAACGCCCTTTCCATTACACCGAAATTATTGCTTTGTCAACCAATCGCTATCTATGCATGTAAAACAATATTACACTTGAAAACTTGCAACCCTTCCGGTTAGCTCTGCTCCTCTTGTCATATATTTATCATTACACTATCTGCACTTGTGTACCACCCACGGCAAGAATAAAAAGTTGAAAACAAATCCTATTTAACATAATCGATTTACAATGTTATTGATATAGAGAAACATTCTCGTCGTTTAAGTTCACACGTTTGCAAATGTCTCTATGATTTTTTGCTTCAGCTTTTTAGCACTCTCTTTAAGTCTTACCGCACGAAATGAGATTCTCACGTAAGCAATTGAAATCGTTCAAACGTTTATCATATCTTCATTTCTAAGAAATTTTTACATAAACACTAAACGCAGACGATAGTTGAAAGAGACAAGGCAAAAAGCATTTGCGATATGCAAATGTTTTTATTACAACTTTACAGACGAACAAAAGTATAAAAATTTATCATATAACAAGGAAGAAAATTAGATTCGGTCGTGACCGAATGTCTTATACACTTCGTCGGGATTCTAAAAAAGGTTGAAAAAAAGGAAAAAAAGTAAATTTTCGTACTCTATAATGTTGGGTGGGCCCAGTTGATTTTTTCGATTTTCAGAATAAAAGTGGAAATTTTTTTTCGCGAATTGCATCCAAAAGACACGGAAACCAAAGGTGTTCGCTGTTTTCGTTGCATATGCATGTGGGCATTGCAAGTGCGTCCTTTGACCTTCTCCAAATGTGTAGAGGATGTCTTCATTTTTGCGAACGAGATAACGTTTACCACAGATACGTGACAGTTGAGCAGACAGACAGATGGACAGTTTGGTGTTGAAAAAATAATAAAATTTTGATATACTGTATTATTGGGTGGGAGTGGTCAATTTTTCCCATTTTCATATAGATATGACAGCATCGCCAAAAGAATATACGTTCAAATCTTTGGACATTTATCTGCTATAGTTCATGAGTAATGAACTAAAAAGCAAATTTTACTCCTTTTAAACAAGAGAGACATTCTCAGTTCACGTTTTCGATACCAATCTGAAGTTAAATGAACTTTTAATGTTTCCGCTAAATTTGAAGCGGATAGTCTCACTTTCGCGACGAGGAGATGGGCAGATGAGCAGATGGAAATCCTTCGATCGTCTCATATATATACTTCATAGCGTCCCAGAAGTTTCCTTCTGAGCAGTGCAGACGTTTTGATAAAATGAATGTATCCCTCATCTCTCGGTGTTCGGTGTAAAAAATGTTTTAAGTAAATAAAGGATGCTCACCATAGTACTTGTGCGGTTGGAAAGCAAGACGTGGGATTTTATTAGTGTCGTGTTAACATAATTTTAAATGCATGCAAAAAACTTTATTGCCTTTGGCACGATATTAATGACACACAATTTCCATTTTAAATTTTACATCCTTTTGGTATTTTATTATAATAAAAATGCACCTTTCTCTCCCTGCCTCGTCCTTTCTCTCTCTTTCTAACTCTCTGTCAATTCTAGCGGATCGAATATCTTTCTGCAATGACATCGCAACTAGTAGAGGTGACTCTTCACCATCTACGTTTTTCGAGACAAAGCCTTGCGGCGATCGTTTGGTTATTTACTTCGCTAGACTTATTGTCGCCAATGATTCGCTTTTATTGCTGGCAAAATCTTTCATTCATCTAATTGCGATGTAATATATATATATGCATACCTTAGCAAACACGGCGCAAAACCTGTTTTTATTGTTGAGAAAAATAATTCGTTAGAATAATTTTTATACCCATTGAAGGATGCGAGTATACTTATTTGTCAAAATGTATGCAAGGTGCAGAACGAAGCTTCAAACACACCATTAAGCAAAAGTGTTAATCAGTACTATTTTCTAAATTGATTTAAGTATGTCCGTCCGTCCCTCTGCGTAATTCTTCAGGTGGAGACAACGAAGACATTCGTCTTAAATTTGTTATGAACGCAGATTTTTATAGAAAATGGGCCAACTTGCTCATAGTACACACACACAGTACAAGAGCCTTCAACAACAAAATTAATTCGGTTTTTTGCTTTTGTTTGTTTCATTTATAAACTTCTACAAATAGAGCAACAAAAATTTGCACGTGTATGCTGTAATTAATCTTCCAGCATATGCAAAAAAATGGGGAAAAATATCCGATAGTCCACAGTGTCGAAGTGCCTTTCTTTGGATGGATATGAAGTTTAATACATTGACATGTGCGCAAAGTCCAAACCGTCGTTTTAATTTTTGGACAGATGAACAGATGGTGCACCAACGAAGGGGGCGAGAAGGCCAAGGGTCTTCATGTGCACTTTGTATGTCTATTTTTGCTGCCTTAAGTGTATATAATTTCTTCGTAACCACCCGGTGACCAACCATCACTTACTACGCTAAAGTTTTAAAAGTTTACTATTGGCCCTTCTCGCCCTTGGTGGCGCCAAATATTATCCTAACGTTACGAAAGCACGTAAGGCAATAAAATTTTCGCAATTAGAATGAACATTGTTCTAATTTTGCTGAAGCTTCTTCTTAGCGTTTTATTTAATGGAATAATAAAACTGAAATTTTGTAATTAGAAGAGTTTTTTTCCAATTTTCACTCTCCATTCACTAACTTAAACACTATTTTTTCGCAACTTCCGTAACAAATTTCATTCACTATGTTTCCTTAATTAAAGCCAAAAAATGATAACAAAACAGAGAAAAAAAATGCTAAAATCTAAATCTAAAAATCTAATTTAAAATCTAACCGTTGTTTAAAGCCATCAAATTGAAAGAACCATTGACCCCCTTGTTCAACAATCAACAAAACGAAGCAAATAGTTTTTGTGCACCGCTTAAGCACCCGCACGTTAAATGAGAATAATTTGTTGCCGACGCAATAAAAAAAGGGAGCAAAATGAAGCTTGAGTACTTACGAAGAAATATAAATCTACGGTTTTGGTACGTTTCGGTGCACATGTTTGACGTTCGCTGGGACAGCAACCAGTATCGTCAGCACAACGATGTAGTACCGTGCAATGAGGCGTATAGATTTTCCATGGATCCCGACGTATACGTTCGACACGCGGCTGCGGCAAGCGGCATATGGCTTCGCCGACAATGCGACGGTGATGAGCACTAGCCAAAGCTGGAATAAAAACAAGACGAAAAGAAAATTGAAAGCAAAAATTAAAAATTAAGTTGCTGGAGAAAGGCAAAGGGTTTAGGGATCGCAATTTTATGCTTTCACTAGTAAGACATTGCATGCAATAAAAATTCAGACGTTTCGTTGCTTCTATTGCCTATGTTGTTTGTATTGGTATGGGATTAAAAAGCGAGTAATTTCAATTTAGCTATGCAATAACCCATTAGGTATTTCAAAATGAAACACCATAGTGGGCCACGGTCCATTACTAAGCACTCTACATCTCCCTACAGTTATGCATATGATGACTTTCCAAACTAAGACATTATGTGAGAAGTGAACGAAAAAAAGAGACGATTCGCATCCGTTTCAATAACTTTTACCTGTCACATAACTTTAACACGTCCGTGTACAAATTTCATCAGACTATCGCAAAAATGGCGACTTGTAGCTTGAATACAAACATATACGGGTGAACATGGGACGAACAGGTAGGCAGACAGATAGGCAATCTTAAATCGATTCAGAAATTGATTCTGGATCAATCGATACAATAAAAGGTGTGGCTAGTTCAAGCCCATCTGGGTATTCCATACCTCCGCACAAGCGTAATGTTTCCTAGTACCACAACTGAGGTAAAGTGCAGAAGGATTTGAGAGAGATTCACCTTTTATTATAACGATCCATTCAGACAGTGATCTAACCTTGTTTCTCTGCCTATCCGTCCTACATTCTTGTGTTCTACCCATAGATTGCAAATTTTTGAGATATTTTGATGAACTTTGTTTCACCGATATTTTTTGTCCCAAGGACGAAGGTCATTGAAATTGGTTCGAATCAGACAGTTTTTTCGATAACTTTCCATATAACACATTATTTTGAGAAAGTCATTACATGAATAATTGTATGGAGCGAAGGGGGGTAAGGTACTTAGTATTGGGTCGTGTGCCAGTATAGGATTTTTACTTGCCATTACTTGAATATGTGCGTAATAATAGTTTCCCAATTATTACTGTTCTATTCCTTGTCTTCCATTTCCAAATAGAAATTGACAAAAAAAAAATGTCTTTTTAGGTTGTCACTGTAGCTTTCTCTTCAATGGCTAAATCGATTCGCTTAACCATGTAAGCCAAAAATATAAGTATGAGCACAAGGTGACCACCCTTTCTATGTAAGCCGTGGGCACCTATCCATATGAGTACTTTTTTCCTTAGGTTGCCATGCTTAGCGTGTTAACCGACATCTGCCTTCACGTTCATGCTAATATCTGCTTTAGTTACTGGAATATGGTTCTTTATTATCGTCTAAGAAAATATTCGCGTGACATTGTCCCTTTTCTTAATATGGCTTGAGGGACTGCTGAAAACTATCATTTCATTTAGTACGGATGAAGAAGAGTTTTTTTTTTTCTCGGTCCCCATAGAAAGGGGAGTATTAAGAATATATGTAAGACAGGAAACGCGTAAACATGTAAAAGAAAACATATTTTTTTAGAGACTTACCCTTATGTTGACGTTGTTTGATAGCGTGAGCACGTCGTGATTCCAGAACTGCGCTAGGTGAACCTAGTTCTTCTTGCTTGGCCCGAGTTACTGAGCCGGGTACATAATAACGCGAATAAATATCAGAATCGTCCTGAAATTATATTAAAAATAATTTTTCTTTAAATCGATGCACGGCATAAATGCGTAAAGAAAGAAAATATAAAAATTTTATACGTATACATCGGACGTAAAATAAATGACCGCCGATTTTTTTAGTAAAATTAAGGGAGTGCTGTGATTGCTTTGTTCAATGCATCGTCCAGCAATAGTCGTCAGTTCTCTCATCTTTTATGCAGAATATGAATTGTGTGTTAAACAGACAATCGGTCAGTTGAGGACATCCACAGAAAAGTGCATAGTGAAACCCGTGTTAAAAAAAGTCACATTCCCTGACAATAGTGGCGAAGGCACATTTCGCGGGTGTAATTTCTTCAAATTGAAAATACCCGAGGTCATGACTATTAGCAAATTGTTTACGCCTTTGTCCCAGTTTCATTTTTTGCTGTCTGTGCCTTTTCTCAGTCATGGTTTCACTTTTATGGAACAAACTGTAATACACTACGTACGTCCAGCTGATAACCCCGAGTGGAGCCGTGAAGGATCTTCAGTTCTTTTTTCAGGTGTTGATGATTGGCCCTCATCATGGTCCATTACTCTTAAGGAGTTGGCAGGGCTATCGCTCAATAATGTGCTTTTGGTGTAGAATTGCATCTATTGAATGCTCCAAAAAACTATGTGTTGGACGCTTTAGTGTGATAACTTATACAGTTCCGCGTAGTTTAAAGATAGCACTTTGAAATGAAAATGTCGTAGTTTTATTCAGTTTGCTATTTGTACACTCACAGCAGCACCACACTCACTCTTTCTTAGAAAAAGGATGAAATCATATTCGCTTACGGCGCGGAAATATTTTCAACCGATTTTTCCCAACTTTGAGATAAGTGCAAACTAAAGTGTTCGAAAAGCATTTTAAAGAATAATCTTAGTTGAGGAAATGGATCTCATTTATATACCGATCTAATGAAATTTCAGCATTCCTGTCTATTAAGTTTGCGGCTCTGCCTCTGATTGTTGATTATCGGAATACTTTTTTCACATCATTCTTCATCAGGGAAACCATATGTCTTTGTTTCAAGTTTCGAGAACAACTGATGCTGAAACCTGTTTTACTCAACGCAGTGAACGCGAGGATTCACAGAAGAAGTGAAAGAAGAAAATTCAAAAGTTCTTTCTGCATAGCATAATGATTTTGTCACAAAAGCAGTGCAAGGTTATCGATCCAAATGACACAAGTATTTAACTCGATAAAGTTGATAAGAAACCTCACAAAGCCTTTTCTTTGCCCTAAGTACGATACACTATCTAGGCGAATATGCTTTCCTTGTTGCTTTACAAAGCTTTAGAAAGCGGATTTAGCAGCGAAGATGGCTGACGTTGTTGGCTTAAAATAATGAAAATTTCATACAGTTTTGCTTTTGTTTGATTTTCAGAGCTATTTTCCATAAATAAATTCCTTTTTAAAGAATTTTTATGATGTACATACACATGACGCCTCGTTAGGTTTTTCCATTCGATGATACATAGAACTTTAAAATTTTTGTTAAAGTTGTAAGTAAGAGAACATCAAATATTTACTGCTTTTAGAGTGAGCGAGCGAAGTCGACCCGCATACAAAGGAAAGCCACACACACAAATTCACAAAGTTTTTCAATTACAAGTGTTTTAAGCTTTCATAGGGATTAGGCTGTAACCGCACACAAGAACCTTCAAATAAGTACACATAAGCAAGCATATGCCAAAGTGGGTGTGCATCGCATGTGCTTGTGCGTACAGTTTGGTAAATTTTTTTAGTTTTCATTCCTTTTTTCCATAATTCACATTGTGTAACTTTAAAATTGTGCTTTTATCTCAACAATATAAAATACACTCGTGCACATATTATTTACTTATCTTTCTCTGCCTCGCTCTCTAGTAATTCCTTTAATTAAAATATTGTGTAAGAGCACCATCACCCTTCACTCATTCTTCCTTCCTTCATTCATTCATTGAATTCAATATGAATTATTGTTTAGTTTGTAATTAAAAATTTTCAAAAGACATTTCGCATATTTGAAAGTTTACCTATATGCAGAAAAACTACACTATACACCGCGTTACACGGTAATGAACAGAACAACACATGACACATGACATTGTCGTAACGTTGTGAATTATTGCCACTCCAAGGAAAACAAGGTTATTCTTAAATATTTTGTTTTAGATGCTGACGCGTAGATATGTATAAGTGTACAAAATGCTTTATCTTCAACGCTCAGCAGCTGTATATGAAGTATTTGGGAGCTTGAATGTATTGCTTCCATGCGCGGTGTAGTAAACTAATGTAACCCATGTTCGTGAGGAATTTTGTTAACATTAAGATTAGAATATTTTTTTATTACCATAGCGAAACACACTGGCAGCCAATCCCAAAAAAGACGCGAGTTCGATTAATTACTCACTTCGTGCTTGTACTTAAATACAATATTAACTCACGAACTGATATACAGGCGTCTGCTGTTTAATATGGTACTTGTAAAGCACGATGTCGGTACGAAGCGCCACATGTTGCGTTGATTTACATTATTTTAAGATATCGTATTACACGGTTTGGATACAACACGGACAAGTTTTCGAGACAATGCACTTCTTACATATACATTATACCTAAGTCTTCTATTCCATATTATATGGCACGGTAGGAATTAACCTCTTTAAGCGACCAGAGCTGCTGTCTATATATATATATATATATATGAATTTCCGTAAAAGTGAGCAAACTATAAAGCATTCCTTTCTTTTCATTTCTTCCCTATCTCTGAGTTTCTATCTAACGTTGCACGAATTCATTTAATTTGAATTAGTTCTGAGTTCCGAGCGCAACACGGTTTCTACATAACGCGGCAGTGGTGTCTATATAATGCGATATTGTCTATCGACCGGTTTCCCTTTTAACGACACCAAGCACATTTGCTGATTGGATATAATCCTGAATTTCATTCAACACGGTTTTCAAGTAGAGCGTTGCGATTTAGTCGCATCATACGAGGCTCGACTGTAACATTTAAGATTCTTGCAGAGATATCTATCTGCACACACATAGGTTAGATATCAAAAAGAATAAATTTGAACAAAAAACATAAATTTATTAAAATATTACAAGTGTCACAACACTTGTTTACGATCTACGCTCGGAATTTGCTTACAGGCGGGCCTCGATCTTACTGCAATTACCATCAAACCGTGTCATTGGCGCGAGTGTCTCTTGCTGGCATCTGACAAAGATTTTCACCTCAGAGCAATGCAGGTTTCGTGTAATAGCAGACCTTGTAATAGCGTTGAACAAGTCGCGCTTTATGCAGAAAGAAGAAGCGTTCGCTGAAAGCACTTTTTATTTTCCTCAAAGATACGAAAGCAAGTTGTCTTTGCATCGTGCCAGCCGTAGGAACGAAAAGTGGAGCTTTTGAAAATGCCAGGGGTAAAAGAGCATGAGTAGATAATTACGCACCAACGACACAATGACACTAACATCGGAACTATAAGGGTGGGGTGCGGTCTGTAAAAGTCTAGTGAGACCGTTAACATTAATCACTGCTGGCAGCAATTAATCGATTTGAACGGTTTGACAAGAAACACAAGGACACTCTCATCAATGTCATGCATCCATTCATCCGCCCCTACTACAAAATTGATTCGCGGCACGTTGGAAGCACTCAACAAAGAAGTGCTACTGCATGGACCTTACTCGCCAGGCTCGAGTCTTTTCGATTACCACTTAGTCGACTGGCCGCACATCTGTTGCGCAACGCTGCCGTTCGTAAAAAGATGCAAAAAAAAAAATTTCTAGATTGAAGAGTCTTAAAGGCGTGACTTAAAGGCGTCTAAAGTCCGCAGACAGAGCGGTAGTGTATAGCCAGCCATGGGTTATGGTTCCTTTACAATATTCAATATTTACGTTCGTATGTAAATCTCCTCAATCTTAACGATATTTTGAAATTTACGAGAAAAGTATACCATATTTGCGACATGATAAGTGTACATGGAAGATATCAAATAGCTAAACAAGAAAATCAAGTTCGATTTGCAGCGAATCCTGGATACCCCTTGCCTCAAACTTGATGTATTCGAAGCATGTTTCTGTTTGTTATAAGTCGGGGCAAAAAATTCTTGCTTATCGTCACACATGTGGAATTAAATACAAAAGGTAGTTAATGTAAAGAGTTAGGCAAACACTGCCTTAATTATGAGATGTCAAGCAACTTAACTGTAAGAGCAATAATTTTCAATTTAAGCCGAATGTTTTAATGCTCCCAGCATTATTGTGCAAGCTACTTAATTAATTATAAAGAAAATTAGTCCGTTGAAAACTATTTATGCCGTATCATGTGTAACGTAAATCGTACTTGGTGCTTTTTTCTCCTCTATATCTAAAATTTGAGAAAGAACTTTACTCCGTTTCTTTCTCTACTAAGAAATTTTCAGTGCAATTCTTTCTCCTCTCAGTTTCATAATCTTTTTAGTATTCACGTTAAGTTTTAAACGTTTTAATTGCATTTTCCGTTAAATTACTTTTGTAAAAACTAAAATTTCTTTTCTTAACTCTCTCGAGTTGGTGGCCTTGTGAGCACAAAAAAAACATATATTAAGATCTTTAAAGTGCAAATAAAATTGACTAAATATCAGAAAAGTAAAACACCAAATGCGAAACGCTTGCTCCATATCTATCACATATTGTCTTGGAAGAGCAGAACGTTTAACGTAGACGCGTGCAAAATTTTGTTCACTTTGCCCGAGCGAACCGTATAATACAATGATGGAGCCAAGTTCTGTTACAGAGAGAGTCTAGACTGTCTGAAATGGAATCGGGAACTCCTTTTTAGGTACCTCAACCCTTTAAAGCAAAATTTTTGTGCATACAAGAGTAAGCAACTTTAATAGCGTATAACGAAGATAAATAGGCTTACGTCATTGGCAGCTTAATCGTCATAAAGTTAGAATTCGTATCACCCATAATTTTAAATCCGCCACAAAGCCAATATAAACACTAAACCCATA